TCAAGGCAACGGCACCGCCGCGATCTTCACCGGCGACCCCGACACGTTCACCGTCAGCCTGCACGGCGCGAAGAACTTTCCCCGCGTCAAAACAACCAGCGACCTCGACGTTCCCCTCCCCGACGCCTGCGAAGACGCCGAGTATCTGGAACGGCTCGATGAGACGCTCGCCGAAGTCTGGCGAAGGTTTACGCCCGAGGTCGTCTTCTACATCGCCGGCGCCGACCCGTACCACGCCGACCGCTACGGCCGGATGAAGCTCACCAAGGAAGGCCTGCGAGAGCGCGACGAACGCGTCGCCACCGCGTGCCGCGAGCGTGACTTACCGGTCATCGCCGCGATGGGCGGCGGCTACGCCCGCGACGTCGACGCCGTGGCGGAAATCTACGCGACCACGGTCGAAGTGCTGGCTAGTCACGCCCCATAACGCCGACGATTTGCGTCACCGGCTCTCCATATGCTGGCGTAGCGAGCCGACGACGCAAGTCGTCGGAGTAACGTCAACCTACGGAAGGCGCCCCGTCTCAACCTCCGGCCACTCACCGCTGAGCTCCTCCAGGAACGCCACCAGATCCGCTTGCTCCGCCGCCGTCAGGTTGAGCGGTTCGATGAGCGGGCTCAGGAATGGGTTTGGCTGGCCGCCCTTCACGTACCAAGCAATGACCTCGTCGAGCGTCTCTAACGAGCCGTCGTGCATGTAGGGGCCCGTCTCGGCGACGTTCCGCAGGCCCGGCGTCTTGAAGGCGCCGCGGTCGGCCTCGTCCTTCGTGACTTCGTAACGGCCCCAATCGAGCGGCTTGGTGATCGCGTCTGCTTCAGGCAGGTCGGCGATCGACTCCATGCCAACGCCAAGGTTGTGATACGCCTCGTCGGAAAAGTTGGCGCCAGCATGGCATTGCGTGCAGCCCGTGCGAACGCCGAAGAACAAGTCAGCGCCGCGCTTCGCCGCGTCCGAAAGTGGCCGGGCGGCGGCGATTTTTTCGAGTTGGGCTAGTTCGTCAGCCAACTCGGGGTCTTCGTCGGTGTACGCGTCTCGGAGCACCCGCAAGCGATCTTCCACGTCCCAAGCGTTCGGCCCGCTCACCAGCACGCGCTCGAACGCCGCCAGCGCGCGGCCGGCGTTGTCGATCGACACGCCTCCGCTGTCGAACACCGCGTCGAACTGCGCGACATAGGCCGGGACCTTCTTCAGTGTCTCGACGACCGCGTCATGGCTGAAGTCCATCTCTTGCGGGTTCGCCATCGGCGCGATCGCTTGCTCTTCGAGCGACGGAACACGGCCGTCCCAAAACTGAGGGCCGGAGAGAATCCGATTCGCTGCGGTGGGCGAGTTGCGAACGCCCTCTTGGCCGTCGACACCGACGCCGAACCGAGTTGGGAAGGCGTAGCCGTGCTCCGGCGCATGGCACGACGCGCAGCTCACCGTGCCGTCGCGCGACAGGCGCGGGTCGAAGAACAGTTGTCGGCCCAGTTCGATCTTCGCGCGCGTCAGCGGCTCGGCGTCGAGACCCTGCATGTCGGCCTCGCCGGCGTTCATCCCCAGCGGCAACTCGGGGCGCAGCTCGCGGTGATTGGACGGGTCCGCCAGCCAGTCTCGCAGCTGCTCGACCGTCAGCTTGCCCTCGCCCGGCACGCCGCGCAGCAGGTCGCCTTCGCCGAGGCGTACCCGTTCGGGTCCGTCGGCGGTCGCGGCGCTGGCGAGAGCGGCGCAGAACAGCAGGGCAGCGAAGCGGAACATAACGTGGAATCGGAGGGGCTCGGGCGCGGCGTCCTGCCTAGACATTCGAGGCTAGACCGCCGGTGCCCGTCGCGCCAACCGCCGCGACGTTACGCCGCGGCCGCTTCCAGGGCTGCCAGGGCCTTCGTGTAGTCCGGCTCGCTGGTCACCTCGG